GTTCCACCCCTTTTTTTAGTAGCTCAAGTACGTCCTTTATTTTAAATGTGTTGTTGTGTGTCCGGACATAACTTTTTACCGATGACCACGCGAGCTCTATAGGATTTAGCTCGCAATGGTATGGCGGTAATCGCAATACGAGTTTTTTATTGTCTTTCGCGTATTCGTCAATGACGTATTTGTCGTATGAATCTTTTAATTGTCTCACTTTATTCATTAAATCATTTTTACACGTCGGATGGATAACAATCTCACCTCTACACTTAAGCCAATCTACGATTTCTTGTTTTTTCCAAGACATATTTGGTATTTTACATTTCTTCACCGAGTGATACGAGGCATTGTCCATCACAATTATGGCATTTTCTTTTAATAACGGCCGAATACGTACAAACCATTCATAGAATGTATCTCCATTCATCTCGTCGTGGTAGTCTGATGAATTTGTTTTCGATTCGAAACATAAAAGGCCTCCCGGGACAAAGCCATCTGTCGACCCGATGTGTAAAACGATGAGACGCTTACCTTTCCCGGAGGGTTCCTTTTGTCCTGTTGTTAGGCCTTCAAGAAATGCTCCACGTGATGATGTCACCGTCGTATCGACCCACTTTCTACCATGTGTTTCGCCAGCGTTGACCCATGTTTCATCTAAATAGTATATCGGTCTGTTTTGTGTTCTGTAATGCTGTATTTTGGTTAAAAAACTTCGGCGCCAAGTTATTATATCTTCTCTTTCGAGAAGTGCACTATTACGATTTTTTTTCACGTATTCAAATTGTAAATCTTTTAATACTGCCTGGAATGACTTACGTTTCATATTAGGCAATTCTTCATCCTCATTAATGGCTACCAACATTTTTTTAATTGTGGGTACTTCACGGTTCCTCCAAAAATTGTGAATTTTTTGCCTAATAGCGTTTTTATCAAATTCGTCGATTTTTTCAATTATTGTAGGTCTAAGTTTTTTCTTGGTAGGCATGAAACTGTACCTTGTTTTTTGTACTCAGACAATGTTGTTTGAACTGTACGTTGTCCAATACCCGAGGCTTTTGAAATTTCTAATAGCATTTGTCTGTAGGTCAATCGGGGGCTGTCTGGATCTTCAGACTGTTTTCCAACGAAATATTTGTAGAGGTTAATAACAACTTGCCTTTGACCAGTGCCAATAAACTTAAGAAAAAATATATATTTAAAAATTAAAAATATTCAATAGGAAAATAGTAATAGAAACACTTACTTTTCCTTTTGGATTTTTTTTAGCTGGAGATACAGTTACATGTTCGTCGTCCATGTTGTTAGGTTTTTAAACGTAAAAAATAAAAATGGCGGTTTCATAGAAAAAGCGAAAATTGTGTTCCCGAAAAAAACAAAAATGTTGTGTATCTTATATGTATTCAATAACATAGAATATCGAAGACACTATGATACGCTCTGTATACAAACACTGTCACCGTTTCCCGGTCGGCGGCGGCGTCGGTAGGCGGCAGCAGCTCCGCGACGGTGGCGACGACAGCGTCGGCGGCCAGAATTAACGGCGGCCAGCGTTTTAGAAGGTTTAATGGTGGGAATGCGCGAGAACGGAAGAATTTTGGTCGCCGCCCAGTAGCGTTCTCTCGGCGGCCTCAATATAGTCGATATTGCTAACATCGATAATGACCTACTACGAGTATTGAATCTAGATAACAACCCTATAAAAATGCTCGGACTATTTTGGGACCCGCATAATGACACGTATCGATATAAGGTCAACGAACCGATACAAAGATCTACGTCGATAGCGCCAATAACAAAACGCAATATATTATCGAACATTGCGACGATATTCGATCCTCTCGGTTTAATTGGTCCAATAGTCATAACAGCAAAAATTATAATGCAAAAATTGTGGCAAAAGGGTATTAATTGGGACGAGCAATTACCGTTATCAATACTAAAAGAATGGGAGACCTATTGGCATGAACTAATCAAAATAGAACAGATTACTATTCCAAGACGTGTAATCGGTTGCGACGGGAACGTGAACGTGCAAATTCACGGCTTCGCAGACGCGTCTACGGTAGCGTATGGTGCGTGTTTATAGTGTTTATACGTACGAACAGCCGACTGCGAAGGCAAACATTACACGCGCCTAATAATATCGAAATCCCGTGTTGCCCCGCTAAAAACAATTTCTCTAGCGCGATTAGAACTATGTGCTGCGGTATTATTAGTGCGTCTTTCAAAAAAAAAAAATCCCAAAATTACGTATAAAAGTAATACGTGAATATTATTGGTCGGACTCGTCAATCGTATTGTCATGGATAAACGCACCATCCTCTCAGTGGAAAACATTCGTCGCGCATCGAGTTGGAGAAATATACCAAGCAACGGCCAGTTCACAATGGAGACACGTAAAATCTGAGGATAATCCAGCCGACATAATATCACGCGGTTGTACTCCCGAAAAATTGCAAAATGATATTTTGTGGTGGGAGGGTCCACCTTGGATAAACAGTAATGAGGACGAGTGGCCATATAACGTGTCCGAAATAAAAATAAATGATAATGAAATTCCAGAAGAAAAGAAAAGTCTCGCATTGGTAACAGTCGTAAATGAAGAAATTCCAATAATAAAAAGGTATTCGACACTACCGAAACTATTAAGGGTAGTTGCCTACATCATAAGATGGAAACAGCGCGTGGTAAACAAAATACAGTTTACAACCAAAACGATCGAGTTAAGCGAGTTCAACGACTCAAAAGAAAAATTAATAAAAATTGTTCAACAACAGCATTTCAGTAGCGAAATAAATCGTTTAAAACACAAAAAATGTGTCCAATATAAGTAAATTACGTTTTTGGAGACCGTGGATAGATAAAAATAATATCTTACGGGTTGGAGGTCGATTAAACAAAACAGAAGCGATAAATATTGACACGAGGAACCCAATATTACTACCGGCAAAATCGAAGCTTACCAAATTAATATTTGAATACGAACACAGGCGGTTACTACATGCCGGTCCCCAAGCGCTGTTTTCCGGAATACGGGAACAATATTGGCCACTGGACGGTAGAAACATAGCAAGAAAAACTGTTCACAAATGCGTTCAATGTTTTCGCACAAAACCAGTAATATGTCAACCTATTTGTGGGGACTTGCCAAAAGACCGAATAGAGCCGCGAAGACCATTTTAAGTTTGCGGAGTAGACTACGCAGGACCAATTTTAGTAAAAACTAGTTTGCGAAGAAAAGCTCAAACGACGAAAGGTTATATTTGCGTTTTCATTTGTTTCGTAACTAAAGCAGTACATCTCGAATTGGTGGGAGACTTGAGTACTAATGCTTTTTTAGCGGCATTAAGAAGGTTTTGGTCTCGACGTGGAATGACCAAAACAATATACTCAGATAACGGTACCAACTTCGTAGGCGCAAACCAGCAATTGCAAGAACTGCAGAATTTATTTTTATCGGAACAGCATAAGCATCAAGTCCAAACGTTTTTGACCGAAATAGGTGTCAAATGGAAATTTATTCCACCTAGAGCTCCACACTTTGGCGGATTGTGGGAGGCAGCCGTAAAATCAGTAAAAGGACATTTACGTAAGACGTTAGGAAACGCAATGCTAATTTACGAAGAATTGTATACTGTGTTGGTACGTATAGAGGCATGTTTAAACTCACGTCCTATCACTCCCCTTTCATCCGACCCTACTGACTTAAGGGCACTTACTCCCGGCCACTTCCTTATCGGGAGTTCTCTGAACAGTATCCCGGATATCGATGTGTCTGCGATGGCGTCAAATCGATTGCGTAGATGGCAAAGAACTATCCAATTAACGCAACAAATATGGCATCAATGGCGCACGGAGTATCTGTCGCAATTGCAAGGACGGAAAAAATGGCTAACGTCAAAAGGAGCGCCACTTAAGGAAGGGACCCTAGTAATTCTCCGGGAAGAAAATATACCTCCGCTTCATTGGCGCTTGGGTAGAGTTACCAAAATATTAGCGGGCAACGACGGAGTAATGAGGGTAGCAATGGTGAAGACGGAACGAGGGGAAATAAAGCGGACAGTTCGAACTTTATGTCCATTACCCACTGACGAATAAAAAAAAAAAAAAAAAGATAAAAAAAATGTAATTATGTAAATATTATTTAATAATATATATAAATAATATTTATTTATAATATAAAAAAAAAAAATTAAAAAAAAAAAAAAGTTTAATTTATAAAAATGTAATTATATTTATTTTATACTGTACCTATACCATTTATTATTATTATTATATTGTCTGATAATTATTATTATTGCATGATCGCATGTTAATTGTTGTATTATTATCTGCTATTATTATTGTATTAAATTTTTAAAATGTTAGAGTAATACTTTTATAATATATTATGTAATATGTACTCGTATAATGGATTTTAGCACAGCTTAAAATGTCGGGCGGTATAATCAGTCTTGACGATTGATAGCAATCGGTCGTATCGGTTTTATTATTAAATGCGATTAGCACATCGGGCTGTGCCGTTGTAATGGCCTGATATCCGAGTCAGTCACCAGACAACTGCGACTGATGCGTTGTCAATCGTCAAAATATCTATAAGTGCGATAAGTGTGAACACAAAAATGTTTATTAAAAAATATAAAATATAATTAATACAATCAATTAAAATTAATTGTTATTGTTTCATTTAAAAGGAAATATATATAATAATATACTTTTCAAATTAAACAAATTAAATAGTCGTGCGCTCGATGTGTAAACGAACAGTCGCCGCATGACTCAAACAATAGTACTTATTAATAAGTCCATAATAAAAAATACGGAGTTTATTATAGATTAAATTAGGTATATCTGTATGATAAATATAAAATACACAAATATTGAAATAATAATGTACAAACGAGTAACTATATAATGTATAAAAAGTAATAATATTGTCAATAGTAAAAAAAAATCAGTCACATAAAGTATACAAGTTAAATATTTACACATAAATTAAAAAAACATTAAAAATCAGAATCATCTTCGTCATCAGAATTGCCGATAGTTAGTACAACTCTCTGTTGTTCTGCCATCAGTTCATCAATCAAATTGTCCATATTCCAAAACTTGTCTTCTGCTTTCGTGGTGTGGCTGATAAAGTTTTTCCACATCTCAACAGTAACTTTTACAGTACCTTCGATTAGAAGATTATGTACGTCGGCTAGCTTAAAAGTTTTGTTGTTGGCTTTTACGTGATTTTTGACGACAGACCAAGCTAATTCTATAGGATTTAGCTCACAGTGGTAGGGAGGTAAACGTAAGACTACTTTGTTTTGCTCCTTAACCATTTCGTCAATCACATAGGTTGAATACAAAGGTTTCAATCGTTTTACCACTTCTAATAACTCCGGAATTATCATCGAGTTATCGATTACCTCCCCTTTACTTGTGAGCCAATTGATGATGTCTGACTTTCGCCATTGTGTAGTTGGACATTTCTTTTTTTTCACTGAGTGATAAGGAGCGTTGTCCATCACAATCACACAATTTTCATTGAGTCTCGGCAAAACATCTTCCAACCAATCACGAAAAGAATCCCCATTCATCTCGTCGTGATAGTCTTGGGTGTTTTTTTTAGATTCGAAACATAGAAGCCCACCTGGAACAAATCCGTCTTCGGACCCTATGTGAACTACTATGAGTCGCTTCCCTTTACCTGTGGGATTGACTGCACCTGTTGATAGTCCCTGGGAAAAAGCGTCTTGGCTAGATTGTACAGTATTGTCACTCCATATTCTGCTCGTAACATCTCCAGCATTTACCCAAGTTTCGTCGAGAAAATAAATTTGACGACCTTCTTCTCTGTATTTTCGTAAATCTCTAATGTACTGTCTTCGCCAAAGAATTATCTCGTTTTTTTCAAGTAACGCGCTGTTACGACCTCGTTTAGCATATTCGAATTCCATTGATTTCATTAATCGATATAATGATGTGCGGGAGAAATTTGGTAGACTTTTATCTTCATTAACTACCGTCAACATTTTATCTAACGTCAGCAGATCACAGTTCCTTCTGATGGCATATTTATCAAAATCATCAACTTTTGTTTCAACGTTTTTGAAAATTTTTATTTTGTTTGGCGAAGACACTGTTTTGTTTTCGCGATATTGGGCAATTGTGTTTGAAATTGTCTTTTGACCAATTCCCAATTCCTTAGAGAGGATTTCGCGCTTTTCTAACAGTCAAATTTGGATCGACTGCCAATTTGGATTTATACGCATTAATAATCATTTCACGTTGACGTGAACAAACAAACTAAAAAAAATAAATATATCTTGTTATCTACATTTTTATAAAAATGAAAATCGACTTTTTCAATTTTAAACGTTTTTAAATGAAGTGAGAAATTTAGTACTACAATAGTAATATTACTTAACATTTTTTTTTAAATTTTTTATACTAATTTATCACAATAATAGTTTTTAAAAAAATGTTTGAAAGCGAGAATATTATTTACCAAGCACTGAATTTGCACATTAATTTTTATAAAAAACATTTCGAAATTTAAAATTGTAAATTTATTTAATAAATTATTTTAAAACAATAAATTTATACCATATAATTAGTGTAATTAACTTTCGAGTTCATTATACCTTACTGGAAATAACGTAAAATAGTATGAATAGTTTCATCGTAAAAAAAGATAATATCTTTAAATTAATCTTTATATTTTTAAAATTGCATTGCATATAGTAAAATTAATAGTACCTACCAATATAAAATAAGTTTTAAGTTGTAAATAGTTTTAAATTGTGTTTGAATTATTACATCGTATTGTATTTTATTTTCATACCCTACCTATCAAAATCGAATATTCACATGTTGGGTTGATTTTTTTTACAAAAGTTAAGTTTATAAATGAATAATGAGCAGTTTTATATTACGTAATTTCCAGTGTTGGTGAAATTACTATTTTTTGGTAATTAAATTACATTACTAATTCCTTATCAAAATTGTAACTAAATTTTTTTAAGTTAATTTTTATTTATTTGGTAAATTTACATTTTTTTTGAGTTTAAAAAGTAATGTAATTACAAATATAAATAATTAATACTACTATAATTACTTGTTGTTATTAAGAAAAAAATGTTTTAAGGCTACGGTACTGAGAAAGACTTAAAAAAGCAAAATATCATTTTAACTTTTAAATATGCAAAAATATGCAACATAGAATTTCACATTTAACATCTTAGGTTTTTAAAACAAATTAATAGCTCAAATATACGTCTCCAGATCCTCTAAAAAGAAATGTGTAAATGCTAGAAGTTATGAGTTCTGATCATAATAGTTACTAAAAATATACAATTTAACTATAATATTTTTTTTTTAAGTTTCTTTCAATCTTTCAAAATTAAACGGATTTTAATATTATTTTTTCTTCATATTACAAGTAAATAAACTCTATGAAATAGCTGTTTTCAAATGTTCAAAAAAATGTAAGTGGTTATATTATGTCACGTTTTTAAATTTGAATATTTGTTACTTTACGGCTTCTATGAAATAGTCGATATTCATTTTCTTAAACAATTGATTCAAGTTAAAAAAATATACATACCTTTCCTTTGATATTTCGTTTAACCGGCGACGAAAATTCTACTCCAGCCATTTCTTCTTCGGTAAATAAAATAAAATTAAAAAAATAATAATGAAAAATCAAATGCAATTTAGGTACTGAGCGTTTGCTAGTGACGGTGTGCTGCGTGTAAACAGGATATTACAAATGATACACAAAAAAGATTGGAATTTGAATCGTTCGGTATAACGACCAGTCAAATATTTATCATCGGTTAGGAGCGCTAGCAACCATGCTAATCAAACAAGTGGTTCCCTGGGACAAAGTGGGGGATGCGCGCCGCCGAACGGAAATTGGTCGCCGCCCGGTGTCTTCTCTTTTGAAACGGAGTATAGCGTTTCTCCTGAAAGAACGTTCTCAAAATTAAAATTGGTGAAAACAAGGTTTCGAAGTACCGTGTGTGAAGACATGCTTGAAGCACGTTTGATGATGTCTTGTGAATGTGATATTCCAATTAATGTAGACACTATTATCAAACGTTTTGCGTCATGTAGTACAGAATTGTCAAAACTATTATTGTAATGTCTAAAGTTTTATTTAATATAAATTCTAATACTGAGTTATTTATATAATTTAAATGTAATCATATGTTATATAATTATAAATTATACTTAAGTAGTTTATTAGTTTGGTATTCAATTAAAACATTTTTTATAAATGCTCATTTTAAATAACTATTATTGATAATAAATTGAGTACTCATGTCTTACTGTCAAGGGGTAGGGGGGCAAAGCCCCCCACGACTCTGTTTAAACTGCTTGAGTGGGTAGATACTTTTTGGATTCTATCGCCCCTCCAAATAAAATTTAGTTCGGCGTCACTGTTGGAAAATAAGCATAAAAAGACCAATGCTCAAATATTATTAAGATTTCAGGTTCAAAGAAGTGTCTAAGTCATACCTAAATCGTTTAATCCAGAAAGACAAAAAGAAAATTTTGATATCTGGGATTTTGAGATGAGCAAGGTAAATTTTGATTTACCGGAGTCATTAAACCAAAATTTACGTTATGTTCTTTTCAAACTAAGAATACACTTGAGAGACCATCTATTTAACGAAGAACCATGAAAATCAGTGATTAATAGACTAAAAAAATATTGATTTATGTATTATTATCTTACAATACTATGTACTTTTTCTTCTTTTTCACTCTATTATCTTAAATAAAGAGGATATTTGTTAGATTAAATAATCCGTACTTTGGTATCATTGGTAAATAATTATTTTAATAAACTTTAGAATTACACAAATATTCATAGTTAATAATCATTATATAATAATTTTTTTTTATTGAACTTAAGCCCGGCGACTAGGGCCATTAGCTGTTGTAAAGGTTATGAACTGTGGTAGGAGTAAAGTTGGTACGGTAGGTTGTTTTTTTTTACGATTGTTACGGGCGCAGATCGGTGTGTAAGATGCTCGATAGCTGTGACGCAACGATTGACTGAAGCGAAACGCATGGTGCGACAGAATTGTCCGATTGACGTCTTAAATTATTGCTATCTATCTACTGTAGGGAAAATATTATTTTTCTTAAATTGTCTTGGCTCAAACATTATTTTTCCCTTTTTTTCAAAACCACGTTTTTGAAACATGTTTCTTTTAATCACACTAAATTCATTCACTCTTCATTTCATCTTAAGACTCAATTTCAATTACGTAAAAACAAATTCTTAATTATTTTCTTATATTTATTAAATTGTTCTGTGTACGGGATCATGATTCAAATAATGTCCACCCAATTATGTTATTATACCCGAAGAGAATTTATAAATTAATTAAATAAGAAAATAAATAATAACGAATGTTAGAATTTAATAGTTAGAAGTAAGAAATTGTGAAATAGCATTTATGTGATATATCCGTGGACATGTTCTTCATGCTTAATAGATACTCAAAAAATATAAACATAACCAAAATAAAATTTACAAATAAACTTTAATCCGTTAATTCTTTGCAAATCAAACTATGGTACCAAACCAAATTGTTTTTTTTTTTTTTTTTGTACTTATTATTTATAGTTCATGCGTTTTCTATACTAAACATAATACATTTTTAAACATATTTATATTAAATATTACAACCAAATTTTTGCCATGTTTGATAGTTTGTTGTATATTTAAAATCATATAACTTACTCATATAATATAGATTCATCACATTTTCTGTAAAAAATAGAATCTTGATATTGAAGTGTTATATAATAAAATAGTAAAATATAACTTGAAACATAACAATAGTTTTTCATTGCCGAAGCAATCGCTATCCTAAAAGCCATGAAATATTCACTAGAAAACCAAAATAATAACTTCGTCATCCTTAGTAATTCTCTAAGCTCTATAACAAACATCCCCAATACTTAAAACCCAATGACATATCAAAAAAAATCATCTCACCATCTCTGCACACCTCACCAAAGGAAATATTATTAAATTAATGTGGATTCCACTGATTCTATGCCACTCATCAATAAACGGCAATGAAAAATCTGATACGCTCGCTAAAAAAACAGGATCAAATGCCCTCAAAAGCAATATAACAAACATCTCTGCTCAAGACGCTAAATGAATAATTAAACTTAGTATATCAGCACAATCCTGAAAAAACCTCTGGTCAAAATACTTAACTTAATGAAATAAAGCAATCAACCCAACATTGGCCGAATAATCACAAAAACCGGAAAATAGAAACTAACATCAATAGACTCAAAAATGACACACCAGACTTACCCATGGATTCCTGATGACACGAAAAGAACCCCCATATGCCCTTCCTGTGGTGTCAACCTAACAATAAACACATCATGACCGAGTGTAACACATATCGCGACGCAAGGGATCACAACCAGCTATCGGAAGACCTATTTGAATGCCTTGGACCCAATCTGCCAGTCTCCAACATAATCGCCTTCCTTCAATAAACTGTACTGTTCAAATTAATTTAAGCTTTCTCTTTCATTGTATAATATACTAAATTTATAACCCCCTTTTTTTGTCTTCTTTTATAATCCATCTTCCAAAACATAACATTCTGTAATTTATATATATCGCCCAATGGCCTTGATGCCGAGAGTTTATCTTAATAATAAAAAAAAATTGTTTTTCATTTATAAAGCTTTGTTTTTTAAATTTTTTTTAATATTATTTCATCTTTAAACAAAAACCCGCTAGGAAAAATCGTTGCATTTCGAATTTTTCGAAAAAAATTTAAAAAAAAGGGTAAAATTCATTAGACGTTTATTTATTTATTAAAAATACGGGCTGAGCCTAATGGTTACATTACAAAAATATTTAAGTACATAGTTGAATTTTTTTCATGTCTTCAATGGTTTTATTAGTTTGCAGCAGGTCTCCGTGCGTTCCCATCGTTACCTTGTTTATTTAATTCATTGTAGTTTTTTCTCTATGTTTATCATGATTTGCTTCATGTACTCCATTCTTGGTCTATCCTCTTTCGATATGACATTTAATGTTGCCTTCTACAACGTTTTTCGGTAGGCTTTCTTGGCACAATAGATTTTCTATAATTTTGTCTCTTTTAATTTTTTTGGTATACTGAAATTTTCATTTTTCCATTATTTTAGCTAATACTGCTTCATTCGTTGTTCTTTAAAATAATTTAATCTTTAGAATTTTACGATAACACCATATTTCAAAGACTTCATGTTTCTCTTTCTCTACTATATCTCTGTACCTACTTACTGATTGTCAAAGTTTCACAACCACATAAACATGCTCCACACTTATGTTTTTAAAAACTTTTTTGAAAAGCCCTCCTTGTTCATGCTATTCTATTTATAATGTCATATTTTCATTGGTTACCTTTCGTTATATTATTTCCCAAATAATATAAGTGATTCATTTGTCCTACGTAAGTGCGTTATCTAATATTTTATTTAGCTAAATTGGATTTGTCTTGTTGCAAACCTTAATTTTTGTCTTTTTTGATTTGACCCAAAATATTTTATTTACTACGAATAAGATTTGTCATGTCATCATCCGTTTCTGAATTAAAATCAATATCATCAACAAAACTAATTGCTTTAATTATTTCTCTACCTATTTTAAGTCCACGCTTAAATTATATTTATTCATCGCATTTTTTATGTATAAATTAAACAATTGGCAATAGGTTACAGCCCTGTCGTACATCTTTTTTAATTTTTGCTTCTTCTTCTTTTTCATCACGATGTATTAATTAAATTTGGTATACATAAATTACAGATATATCTTCTGTTATAATACTTGATTATAAATGTTCGTAAGGTATCGAATAATTTTTTTCACTTTGAATTATTGAAAGTCTTCTCTTAATCGACGAAAACCATAAATGTATCTTTATGCTTTCCTTTTTGTTTTTTATGAGTACTCTTTGTGTTATGATTACCTCCCTAAATTCAAATGTCTTCTATTGTTTTATTTATCCAACTTATAATTCATTTTGTGATGATTTTAAATTTTGTGGTGAGGGTTATTATTCTGTACTTTTAATATTTTCATGTTTTTTTCTCTTTTAGAATCAGTATTAAAATCACTAATAGTTTTTCAATTTAAATATATTTCATCACATATATACCATACGCTTTGTTATTCATAAGGAGGTAAACCGTATGATTAAATTCTGCACATAAGAAATAATGTACTTTATTCTCTTTATATAATACGTTACGGTTAAAGTACGAATATCGGTAAATGTCCGAAATTTATACATTATATATGGTATAAACTACCATAAAGCAAAGGTAAAGAATATCACATAATTGTTAAAAAAAATCGGGCTTTTACTAACGCTGATTGTTTATTCTAGGATTTACCAAATCTCGTTTGTAAAAGTCCAAACTACAAAAACCATTCGGAGTTTGATTAAACTAATTTATGTATCCTAGGTGTTACGGAAATCATTCATTTTTTGTCGAAATTCGGACATTTACCGTAACATATATTATTCTCCTCCTCAAGTACCATATTTAAGTTATTCTCATAAAATTATTCTTTTCATATTCTTTCTATCTTCAACTTTCTGATCAGTTTCTACTGTTTCTAGTAGTACATTTCAGTTTTTGCTTATTATAGATCTAGCATTATATTTTCTTTTATGTAAAACCTTTTTAATTTTTGATTGTGCAGGTTTACTTCATCCTCTTTTCAAACATTTTTCTGCTTTCTTTAATTGTTTTTTCTAACAATTCTTCCTTAGATATTATTATCATTATTTATAAGTCATTTCACACGAGTTTGTATTTTTATTGTTTATGAGTGTTATATTAATTTTATAACTTTGTTCTTTAATTTATTTGTTCAACTACTTCACCTGTTATCCAAGGTTTTCTAGTCACTTTCTTCTGAGTTTCTATTATTTCCTCTGCCTGGTTCTTTAAAATTGTCTTATTATTATCGTATTTATTTTTCAATATACTGTATCATTGTGCAAAAATTTTCGTCATACATTTTCAGCGGTGACTGGCGTTTTTTTACGACATTACGACTTTTATATTTTACGTCTAATAAAAGGTAAAAAAATTCCGACCGACAACAATAACTTAAAAGTACTTGTTATCCATATCAGTGATATAAGTGATATTATGCATATCATATTGTATTTATTATTCGTATTTAAGATCTGTATTTTATTTATGATTTAGCCTTCAAAGTGAATTGTAGTTTTTACGGGGCGTGTCAATAAAGCTACTATAGATCAAATATAATTTCATTACATTTTCAATTTTTTAACATAAAATAATGAATTTCATTAAATAATTGATTAAACTCAAATTTTATACCCTGGTCGTTTAAAAAATAAATAAAAACAAAAAGCCAGCCCCTACTTTATTCAATTTAACCCAACAATGAAAAAAAAAAAAAAAAAAATGGAATAAAAAATTATCAACGTCATTTTAATACGGAGCTATTTCAAAAATTTAAATGGCTATGCGTGTGTGATTTACCGTAAAATTATTTTATTTTTTGTGTTTGTTTTAATGGTGATTTATCATAGAGCAAGACTGGTGTAATAGATTTGATACCTTTTGTCCAAAAAAGTAAAAACGAAAATTCATTTAAATATCAACAAAATGAAGCGAATTAAAAAAAATTTGGGTACGGTTAACATTTGAAGCCAAATCAATACCGGTTATAAATAACATAATGAAAAGATTTTTAAAAATCGCGATACTTAAAATTTTTTGTTAAATTTTGTGGTAATTATGAATTGTTTTTGCGTAGTCATTATGAAAAATTTTCATCAAAATATCAAGAGTTATTCGTGGTTCAATTGGCTTTGCTCAATCTTGGCTCCAAATTTAAGAGATTATTTTCAAAATACTGTGGTTTTTAATGGAAAATCTAAAATAATTCAAAATTAGTTATTAATCATACGATCATAAGATGATGATGAAATAATAAGTGTTCAGAATATGCCAGTATATCTCTGTTTGAATTTTTTTTATCAAAAAGGTATATTAGCCTTGGGAATCGTACGGTATAAAATAATTTTTAATTGTGAACTTCCAGATAAACAAATTTACAAATATATAATCAACCAAAAAGAAGAAAATAAATTGATAAAGTATCATCTTATGGACTACCGCCATTGTCTTTAGTTTTGTGGAAGGATTATAAAGTAGTCACACTTTTATCCACGTATTGTGGAAATAATTAAATTTCCTTTGTAAAACATTACGATGAAAATGAAAAATAAAATAAGTTAAAATTGCCCATTTTTGATTAAAGAGTATAATTGGCCTATGGATGGTGTAGGTTTACTTGATAGTTGTACAAGCAGGTACAATATTAAAATTAAGTCTCGCAAATGGTACAGGAGAATATTTTACCATTTATTAAATATTAAAGTAGTGGATTTATGAATACTCTATAAATAAATTTTTAAATATCCCAAGTTCACTTTGGCTGGTTGAGAAAATATCTATCCTAAACATTGTGTAAAATTGGTGAAGTAAGACCAAAAAAAAAAAAAAAAAGGAAAACCCTCTACATTACTGCAGAATAAAATAAGTATCATTATACCTCGATCATTTAGAATCTTAACTTTAGATCAATAAAAGGCGTGATAATAGATCAAACAAGTTTTTGTCCAATTCGAATCGATAAAAAGAGTGATATAAATATCCAAATCGCAAAGGTTGAACAAACAACTAGTGCTCAAAATGTAAAATTTATTTGTGCAACAATAAATCACATACATGTTTCCAGTTATATCACTACAAATAAATTTTAAAAATAAATTCCTTTTTTTTAAACCTTTTATAACAATTATAAGTTAAAGTTATGTTTAAATATTTAAAAAATTAATTTTGAGTTTTTTTTTTCATAATAATTAAAGTCCTGGTAAAATTTTGTATTATGAAGTCTTTTGTACACTGCAGCAATTATGCGACATATTAAAAATTTATATTTTTCATAGTTAGTAAATATGCTTGTATAAAGTTTAATATTTTTTTCAGATCTACGCCTTGAAAATAAGTTTAAAAAATTTAATCAAAAAAAAAAAAAGTTGTATATTTAAAGGTTAATTGAATTAATGGTAAGTATTTTTTTACAGAATAGCAGAATTAATCAAACAACAGATCTAAAGAAGTTTTTAACAAATGTATTAATTTTTGGCTAATCATATTTTTAAAAATATTCATCATGTTAACTGCCTTTGATCAAGCAAAAAATACAGATGTAATACAAATATAAAAATCAATTAACTATTTTCATAAAATAAATTTTAAAATACGCGATGATATTACAGGTATTAGTGAGTACATTTCAAAACATCCAGACATTGAGAGTATTTCGTAAATAAGAAGGGTTAATGATAATATTAATTCTAGAAAATTCATTGCATTGAAAGTATGTAACGTAATATGTATTCTAGCTTAAAGTCGTTTTTCTTTTACCAAATATCTAACAGCACATTATATTCTTCAAAATGATAAAGAGAAAATTTATAAAAAAAAAATTTCACTAAATTTTCATATTAATTTAAAACTCAAATATTCGTTAATTATTTTTATTTTATTTTATGTGCATACGTATTCATAAACTGTAAATGAACTATACGATACATGATATTAAATCTAATTAGATGAGTATCGTATACGCAGATAAAAATATATTTTGATATTCGTTGGATATTATTAATCGTTTCTTGGTCAAGGCACATTTTAATTTGTTTATAAAACTTTAACAAATTAAATTAAATACATTAAATGAGAATAATACCTTTAATTAATTTTTCGCATTGTTCGTCATCATCTAATCCACCTAAACAGGTTATTATTTATTGTTTTATAATATGTCATATGTTTCGATAAAAATAAAAATATAATGAATCCATGTCAAACACGAAAAATTACTAAAAATAATTTTACCATGTTTGATTTTTAAAAACTAATTTTCATTGTAATGTAAATCTATTATTTTATACAATTTATTTATCCACCTATTTATACGAGTTTCAAAATTTTTAAATTTACAATTGAATAATGTAGTTAATTACCAATAGGACATTGAATTATTTCTCCATGAATAATTCTGAAACATAACCATAAAAGTGCCAATGTGAAGTACATAGTGTCTATAAAATTACAACTTGTTTTATTCACACATTTAATAAAATATTAGAAAAGTATCATTAATTGAATTTGAATATTATTTTATAGAATGTCATCAATCGAAGCGAATAGCTGAAACACAAATGTAACGATAATTTAAGTTTTAATGTGAAATAAATACTTTTGTTTCTGTATGATCACACTTGTATTATACCTCAGATGTTATATATTTGCTTTAAGTTGTAGCGTACATAATTATTTAACATGTGTAATTTTTACACTTTATAATAATGTGTATAGATCACAAATGTTCAATTAAAAACATTTTAGATTGAAAAATAAAATTCAAATACCTATCTAATTTTCTATTTTATAAAATGGGTTTCTTTTTAATATTACATGCTAATAAAATTTCCATTTCTGAATGTGAATAGAGTGATAAATGTGATAATATACAAACTATTTTAAATTTTAATAGATTTTTTTTTAATTTAAGTAATTTAAATTAAAATTAGGCATCCCAAAAATGTTAATTGTAAAATAAAAATTTAAAGATACATTGGTCCGGGTATAAATCAATTGCGCCGAAAATCACAGGTAAAAAAAAAAAAATTATTGAATGGGAAAAAGCTATATATCAATTGCGCTGATCGATTCTTAAATATATTATTATATATACTTGTATAATACAATTAACCGACATGACAAATTATTAGACATGGCAAAATGAAGTATGATATTTGACCATTTGTTCGACATATTTTTAATTGCCTTACAATCTGATAAAGCTGATGTTGCCAGATAAGTCACTTTTGTATTAAATATTTTAAAACTTTTACAGTCATAGATAATTAATATAATAATAATAATATAAATTAATATTTAATTAATATAATATAATATAATTATTATAAAAATTAAAACCAATTAAGACAGTTTGTGTCATTGTCAAATTCTCTGGAGCAATTAATGTATACCTTTTTAATACACCTTTTTTATACCGGCGCACTAGATGTATACTATACAGGTAGTGTCCCAAATTCGGCGCAATTGATGGGGCGTAGGACGTTTGCGCATCGCTATTGTTACCAATTACCTTTTTTGTAGGCTGTTTGCACATCGCTATTGTTAAAAAAGGCTTAGATTGTTTTCCTATATAACATAACAATTTTTATTAATTATTATTACGTAAATTATGATTTCAATAATTATAAAACTATAAATGTATACAAAAATAATCGTCAATATTCAAAGAAAAAAAAAATTAATACTTTTGAACGTATACTACCATATTATTTAATCATCTTATGAGATTAGATTCGTTATAAATTGCTAATAAATTACTCATTATTTACATTTATAAAAAAAAATACAAAATTATTAAAATATAAATATAATCTAAATATATTTAAACCCGTGTCCCATTATACTTAAAAACTGTTGTCGATTTATTTACCCACTCGTATACTTAAAATAATGTTCGTTTACGAATTGTATATTTTTTATTTCTTTGTTTCTTAAACGGGTTGACCCTTCATTCATTTTAATATTTGTTTCCACTTGAATCTATAACTGTGGTTCCTAAACTTATAAGTTATAACTCATGAGTCATCAGTTATTAATATTATCGTAACCTATATATTATCGGTGTATCATCTGGTCATGCCATGTCACTATAGTAGGTAGGTAAATACCTTTTTATTTTTAATTTTCGTGATGCGCAAACGACCAATCAAATTTCTTACCTGAAGTACTAATGATACGCAAACGACAAACACCGAATTGATGAACACCGATTGGTCCAATTTTTTTTTTTTTTTTATTTATCAAGATATTAAATAAGTAAGGATTTTGTTGAAACTGTTACGTCCCGTTGAACAACGCAGATTCATATACCCACGCAGAAATGAGAATACTGATTTATTAAATATATAGTTAATCTTTATTTAATTTAAACTTAGTTATTAAAATACACTTTTGTAAGAACAAGATGTTGGTGGGCGATGTTACAACCTGACTCTAAATTTTTGATAAAACAAGAGTGTGAGTGGTGTTACGACCTGCCTCTAAGCGTCTTAAATATTCCTAACTATATGGTGAGCTCTGGCTCAGGTTTTCCTTATAAATGGTCCACACACAATGAGAGTCTGCGCGAAGGTGGTGACTTACATACCCCTCGCTCCGTGATTTGTATTTTAATAAGTTCGCGTCGTGTAGTTGTATCTAAATTGCTTAATTAAATACTTATTACAATGCACAAAATATCTGTCTAGGCCTCTCATTGTCAGTGCCATTCTTTTCACGAATTATGCGTTACATCGTCGCATGAATAGATGTATTATAAATTATCAATATTATTACAGGTCTGTGAATATAAGTATTACAATAAAATATTCAATATTATCACGGGGCCTGTAATATAACTTATAAACATTGTTACGTGGTTCTGGGAGATAAATTATAAATATTATTATAGGGTCCGTAACAAAACTATGAAAATATATGTACTGTTTTCTTTTAAAAAACTTATGAAACGCCAAATTTATACAGCTAAAGCTAGAATATGTTTAAAAACATTTGTTGAAAATTACATGTATTGACAGTTATTCATTTTTGAATCATATGAAAAAAAAAATATATTAAAACTGTGGCACGAGCCCTTACTGTCGACCCAGAGGACGTCGACCAGCTCGGTTACATTCAATAATAAAATTCACCGGGCGCGATATGATTGCGCGCGGTCCTTATCAGCGGTATCTTTTTAACAGGTTGACTGCCACGACTATTTTTACATACTTGATAAAATGTGTTCATGTGACACCACATATGGGTCAGCATTGATTTAATGTTTTTCCAGACCCTTATGTGTGTCAGCATTAACATTTCATATTTTTACCGTTCACCGTGTCACGTTTTCGTATTTTCATTCTTTTAATACAAAATTTATAAATATTTCATCTGATAGCGCATGGAGATTATAATTTTTCGACATCACAAAATTAATTTTATGTTGCTCACTTATAATCTCCTTGTAAATAATGTATTCATCACTGTCAAAATATGTCATATGATTATTTAACACTAAGATATATAGATAAGAATGTGTTGTTAAGCGACCGTATTAGTGTCTCACCATTCATATTGATAAAAAGTAAGTCAAAATGTAAAATAATAACGGCATATACATATTAATTATTTTTATTCTGTGATTTTATATTTTATTTTGGTATTTTAGTATACCATATTCATAAATATGAATTTAATGATATTTTTGATGCCTCAATGAGTTATATCATTATTTCAATGGATGATACTGACTCTGATCCAAATTTTAACTTGCTGGAATCAGTGATTCAGGAAAGTGATTTAGATATAGATCTGGTATTATCAGAGGTATAATTTATTTTTATTTGTTATTTATTATACTAAATTTATATTTAGGGTGATCAAATGTTGACATCAACCCAAACATCGTTCATTCTACCAGATTTAAAATTTGACATGGGGCCCAGCAGATAATGATTTACATGATTTTACATATTTAATCCTGATGGACTAGATATTGGAAATTAATGATGATATTTATGTACACTTAACAATGGAACACCTATTGATTTTTATTATTTATTGATGATGAAGTCATATCATTAATTGTCACTGAAACAAACAGGTATGCAAATAAAAAGTTAGCTTCACCAAATATAAAAAGACACTCTAGATTACAAAATGGATTGACACCAACGAATCAGAAATAAAAATTTCTTGAATCATAATGTAGGGTACAGTAAACATACAACTATTGCTAGTTATTGACATCGTCTCATTTACAATCTCTCACTTTGAAGCACATGTAACTGAACGAAGTACACCAGA